CCTCCTCCTCCCTCCTCCTCCTCCTCCTCCTCCTCCTCCTCCTCCCTCCTCCCTCTCCTCCTTCCTCCTCCTCCTCCTCCCCCCCCCTGCTCCAACTCCTCCATAATTTAGTTCTTTCTCTCTTCCCCCATTGCAGCTCATGAAGAGGTTCCTTACCAGCTACCTCCACTGTCACGGCATGCTCTTCTCACGCGTTGGGCTCGATGGCTTCCGTGAGTGTTGCATTGGCATGCTGCATGAGTTCTCTGTGCTCCTGCAGTCCTCGCCTCCAAGGCTGTCCACCAATCATCTGTTGCAGATTCTGGCCATTAATATGTATGCTGTTAGTAACACAGAACTGAAGGGTAAGGGTAATATTTGTTCTTTGTTGATATTGCTATGATTTTTTTTATATGATATAATGATCTCTTTTCAATCTGATTTTTTTTTTTTTTCTTTGAATGAAAAGATTCAGAGAAATTTAAGATACTGTGATAACTTTACTGCTGTTATCTGTTTTTTTGTAAAGCTGTCCTATTAAATTTTTTATCTCCTTGCCATTCTGCATATGTTAGAAATTTATTTGTTCCCCCATTCACTTTCTCCCTTTTCTCATTTGGAGTAGACAATCGTGTTGGCAGTGGGTACAGATCAGCTGCCCAGGAACTGGCCTTGGTTCTGTCACAGGAGATGTTTGGGTGTCTGGCACAGCATGTGGTAGAGCTCCTCCCACACAATGTGCAGCACCATCCTCAGCAGCAGCAACCCCCTCAACAGCAGCAGCAGCAGCCAGTTGCTGCTGTCGATCCTCAGAGACTGTTTATGCCAACCCTTGCCCACTTCATGCCTCCTCTCAAGGTAAGTGACTATTCTTGGTGGTCATTGCAAAGCCTGACATGAGTCCTTCACTGTTTGTGGGACTATATTCTGACCACATCACAGAATGGTTGCAAGTACCGGGGAAGCCTAAATGTTAATGATGGATATTAGTGAGCCTACAGGGAAGATTCATTCATTGTGACAAGTGTAGAAAAGATATGAAATAGATTGCATATCTTCACAGTACAAGAGTTGTATTTGATCATTTTAGATTATCTTTCCCTGAAATAAATACATATATTTCTGATGATATAATTGAAACTGGTCAGATGCTATGCTGAAACTGGTCGCATATATCTCATGCACTGTGAAGATATTCATTCTCTTTCATACCTTTTCTGCACACAAGAATTGGTCAGTCATTTGTAGCCTATTTGCAAAATTCAGAAACTGTCCCCATAAGTCTGTACCGGGCATCCCAGAAAGACTAACTATACTACATAGAAGCTCATCAAGAGATTAGTATTGAAAAATTCTTGATCCCTGATGCTGAATAATTTTTATGGGTAGGGACTTTACAGTGAGAGATTAACTTATATTTTTGCAAATAGGCTGAAAATTAGTGACAAGCTCTTTACAGCACATTTTAACTTCTCTTCCAGAAAGTTTTTTCTTACTGGATGAGGTACTTTAACTCATTTAGTAGTGTGGGTAGAGGAATAGAAAAAAAAGAGGAGTTAGTCAATCTAGCTGCTGCAAACATACTGGTTTGCAGATTATCGGTGGGTTTAGCTATCTATAGTGAGTAGGATGTCACAGGAAGTTGCCAAGTACCAATATGGGAAAATCTGAGCATTTGGTAGGTTGGTGAGTGGGAAATCAACAGGCATTCAAACAATCAATCGGAAACATAAGGGCCTGAACTCTATACAGGGACAATGCATATGAGATCCTGGTTGCTAGGTTATTTGGTATTTGTTTACAAATTTTATCCATTTGAAGTTCCAGATTAGATTCTTTGTGCTCTGCAGATTCTTTTTGATGATTTTTATTTGTGGATGTATGCTTTAATACTTCTCAATTTTCTGTATTGGATTTTATTTCTTCCTTTTATTGATGCAGTTGCATTTCATCTCATTCCTATAGCCGATGTGATATTTATGTCTTCTTGTTTTCTAAATGTAAAGTACAGATTATTTTAATGACATGATGGCATATCTTTGTCACAGGCTTGGTGTGATTGGTTGCTGTACCACAGTGCTATTTGGAACCCACCTCCTGCTGCCCGCGAGTACTCCACTTCGTAAGTACAAACATTTTCCCACTTTGAAAATTTATATATCCTTGTAATGAAAAAGAGTCACAGATAAGAGAAAGAGTGAGTGGAATTGGAAGTGAGTGAGAAAGGATGAATGTCAGGGTGAGGGTGAGGATCAATCTATCTGTCTTTCTATTTGTCTGTCTGTCTTTGTGTTGATTCAGACACTAATCTTTTGATTATCTTTCCCCTTTTTGTCAGAGGGGTGAACTGTGATCCCTGGTCCAGTGTGGCAGAATTAGCAACCATTTTACGTGGATTTGGGCCACCCGATGTCCCTCTGACAGATGCGGTCTCGGCTGATGCTGTGCCAGTGAAGCTAATGGAAGACAGTTTTCTTAGGGGTTATGAGCCGTTGTTGCCTGCCCACCGCACTCTGTCCTACTCTCCATCCCATATTCACTCGGTAAGTTATTTACTTTCAGGAATATGTGGGAGTTTTGGGAGCTAATGATGTGAATGATTATTTTTGATTTAACCAATGTTAAAATATTGATTTAATTCTATATTTGTTAGAGATTATATTATGCTTATTGTTTTTTTCTTGATATTTGGCAAAATATAAACATGCCTCCAAGAACAACTGACAAATGGAGACAGAGAGATAATGTGACTTAATGAATTAGAATTTATTTTGAAAGATTTGGATGCTGTGACTGGAAGAAAAGATCCTGACATCCTATGAAAATTGCTATTTCTCTTGTCTTAGGGTCGAGCCTGTGACTGGGTGCGTGTATTGAGACTTCAGACGTGTTTATGTCAATTCTTGTGTGGAGTGGATCCACCAGTCTTGCGGCTACAAAAGACAGACCAGGGAGACGTACTGGTGTCTGTGGTAGATACGTCCCCTCCAGACACTCCAACGGCATCAAGGGTATGTTGCTTTGGTTCAGGGATTGCTTGTGCCGTCTTTTATTCTTAATTTATTAGCTTAAAAAGGGATAGTATAAGATAATACAATACTTGATTCTCTATTACTTATATATTTTTTAAGATATTAGATGGTATATGAATTGTCCTTCAAGGTGGAATTCCACTGGTAGTGTTTTGGAAATCTGTGGCATGTGATAAAGTTGCACAGGTCAGTTGTATTCAAAACTGTACAAAACAAGGCAACATGAGGCATTGGGATGATGCGGCTATAGTAAATGACAACATGTTTCCTGTGTAACTTGATGCATGTGACTTGGTATAGCCTCTAGCTATGTTGCAATGCATTTACAACAACAGTGATGGCGTCCTAATGTGCATTGACTACTAATTAAGGTTTGAAGAAATCAATGGAAACAGTTTTAGGATACTCAGCTTAAAAATTGCCATATAACTTGTTATGTGAAGTAGGAAGGAGCTTGATATGTGAAGCAACAATGTAGGTGCATCATGTCTCTTTGTTAAAAGGTACAGTTAGCACACGTAGGCCTGACAGGTTGCAAGCTGTGTGTTCCTTTTGTTGTCCCATTGGAATCAGTATGTACAAGTTAAATTTCATTAATCAATTGTAGATTGCTCAGAATATTCCCTTTTCAACAGCTCTCTCTAAGCACATCAGATGTAGAGATTGAGGACTCCTTCAGTGACAGTGAGCCCTCAGACATTGAAGAAGATGTTGAGGCAGAGACCGGTTTGGATGATGACGCGCCCCTTGCCTCCACGGTGAAGCTGCTCAGCATGAGGAAGAAGATGCTGGAGAAGAAACAGAGACAGCAACGGAAATTGCAGGTGAGGAGTGGGCCACTGTGTACGTGTGTTTGTGTCTTGGCATCAAATCGACTTGTCTTATTTCTTTTTTTCTTGTTTTGTCTTCTTGCCCTCTACTCTCCTCCCCCTCCTTTTTCCCTGGCTTTAACTTTATGAGAAAATCTTTTTTTTAAATCTTTTGACTGTACTAACCAACTGTGTAATGTTATTTCTCCAGACCCTTTTGGAAGGCTCAGTCACTTTGGAGATGGAAGTTCGACCAAGATTCCTTGTGCCCGACACCAACTGCTTTATCGAACATTTGGACCTGATAAAGGCTCTTGTTAACAGTACTCCATACACTGTCATGGTGCCTCTTGTCGGTAAGGGAACTGGCCAGCGTTTTGCATACTGTAAACTTATATTCATATTGTATTGTACTCTGAGCGGGATTATTGATTTGACATACTTTATGGTTTAGTTTGTTGTTAGTAATATTGTTCATGTGATATATTTTGTGTAACACTGTTTCAATTTAGAATTGCATTTTGATATGTAATACCCTGCATAAGCAATGTGTAGGGTGTTGATGTTTACATGTTCTTTTGGATTCTAATGCTCTTGTGTTTTGGAGATCCATTGTGGGTAAATGTTTTGTTATGGTTCGGGGGGGAAATTGAGAATGGCTCTAAGGCACCTTGTGATGTTAGTCAGATTGACAATGGAGGAAGATAGAAAACTGTTTTCAGAAATGACCAGTTTCTGTCTACCTAATAATAATAACATAGTTTTTGTTTAATCAGATAGGATTATTATGTATCTTTTAAAAGTTTCAGGAATAACTTGTGTTTGGAAAGTTATTAGTTCATAATATCTTTATTCAGACTCTATACTCGTAGGAGGGAGACCAGCTCATTATGAGCTTTACACTCAATATAATAAAAGTGTTATAACATTATGGGGGGAAAGGTATTTTTTTGTTTTTTACTAAACAAATAAAAAATAACCAACAGCAATGAAATAGGAATGAAGTAGTAGGGAGGTGGCAGGTGAACTCTGGGAACGAGTGCAACAGTTCAAAACATGTTTACTGGCACAGAGGGACTTTGCAACTGCTGTGCATGGTTGGGTCACCTTCCTTTTCCAATTCTCCTTTTATCCTTTTACATCCTGCACTGCTAGCACTTTCAATTTGATGTAGACACAT